GAGACACAGGCAGAGGGAGAAGCAGGCTCCATGCACCGGGAGCCCGACGTGGGATTCGATCCCGGGTCTCCAGGATCGCGCCCTGGGGCAAAGGCAGGCGCCAAACCGCTGCGCCAACCAGGGATCCCTAGCCATTTATTTTAAATTGATGGTCACTAGGGGCACCTGGGTGGCTCAGTTAGTCAAGCGTCTTGCCTTGGGCTCAGGTCATGATCTCAGGGTCCTAGGATTGAGCCCCATGTTGGGCTCCCACATCAACAGGGAGTTTGCTTCTCCCTCTCCCTCTGCATTCTCCCCCTGGCTCATGCTCTCTCTCAAATAAACAAAATCTTTAAAAAAAAATTTGAGAGTCACACTTAAGATTGAACATACTCTAAAAGTATCTAAAATTACTCCCTTTTTTTTTTTTTTTTTTTTTTTTTAACGATTTTACCCATCCATTCACAAAAGACACAGAGAGAGATAGAGGCATTGACACAGGCAGAAGGAGAAGGTGGCTCCATGCAGGCAGCCCAACGCGGGACTCAATCCCAGATCTCCAGGATCACATCCTGGGCTGAAGGCGGCACTAAACCGCTGAGCCACCAGGGCTGGCCCACCCACCCATGTTTTTTAATTTAATATTTTCCATCTCTTTATTTTGTATATCCTTTAATTATTGTAAATATCACTGATTTACTATTTTTGTTTTCTGACCTTCATATTAGCTTAAAAAGTGTTTAATCCCTACCTTCAAAAGGTATTTACCTTTACTAGTGAGATTTGTATTTTTACAAATTGTTACGAATTAATGCCTTTGCTCTTCAATTTAAAGAAGTCCCTTTAACATTTCTGGAAAGGCATGTTTAATGGTAATAAACTCCTTTAGTTTTTGTTTGGGAAACTTTCCTCTCCTTTTTTTTTTAAATATATATATATATATATATTTTAATTTTTATTTATTTATGATAGTCACAGAGAGAGAGAGAGAGAGGCAGAGACACACAGGCAGAGGGAGAAGCAGGCTCCATGCACCGGGAGCCCGATATGGGATTCGATCCCGGGTCTCCAGGATCGTGCCCTGGGCCAAAGGCAGGCGCCAAACCGCTGCGCCACCCAGGGATCCCACTTTCCTCTCCTTTAATTCTGAATGATAACTTCACCGGGAAGAGTATTCTTGATTGCAAGGTTTGTTTATCATTCATCACTTTAAATATATCATGCCACTCTCTCCTGGCCTCCAAAGTTCCTGCTGAAAAATCAGCTCATAGACTTATGAAGTTTTCCTTCTATATAATTATTTGCTTTTCTCTTGCAACTTTTAAGATTTGATCTTTATTTTTTGCCAGTTTAATTATATGGCTTGCTATGGACCTCTCTGAGTTCATCTTGTTTAGAATTCTTTGTGCTTCCTGAACCTGGATCTGTTTTCTTCCCCAGGTTAGGGAAGTTTTCAACCATTATTTATTCAAGTAAAATTTCTGCCCCTTTGTCTACTTCTTCTGGACTCCCATAGTGCCTATGTTAGTATGCTTGATGTTGTCCCAAAGAGCCCTTAAACTATTCTTATTTTTAAAACTTCATTTTTTGGGGTGCCTAGGTGGCTGAGTTGTTTAAGAGTCTGCCTTCAGCTCACGTCATAATCCCAGGGTCCTAGGACTGAGCCCCGCATCAGGCTCTCTGATGTGGAACCTGGTTCCCCCTCTCCTCCCTGCTCATGCTATCTCTGTGACTACCTCTGTGTCTCTCTCAAATAAATAAAATCTTAAAAAAAAAAAAAGAATAAAAATTCATTTTTCTTCTCCTGTCATTTTCCTATTTCATTTGAGTCATTTCCACAATCCTGTCTTTTAGATCACTGATCCATTCCTCTGGATCATCTTATTTGCTGACTGTGAAGCCCGGTTATGACTATTCTGGATATACTGGTGGTCAGGCTGCCCCCACAGGCAGGAGCTTATGGTGGGTAGGCAGTCCTGGCTGAGGCTGCCCACAGGGGAGTGGCAGGGTTGCAGCCACCTGGGGGTGGGGAGCACTAGCCCCAGCCAAGGTCACTTGCTAGTACAGTGGAGTGGGTACCATTTTGGAAGGATGCCTGCCAAGGTGGGCAGATTGCACAGGGCTGGCGCCAGGAAGATAGAGTGTCAGACCTAGCATCCATCAACACTTCCACTCCCAAAGTTCCTACATAGCCCTGCCCCTCCAGCACACTAAAATCAGTCACTAAATCAGTTTTCTCTTCCTGTATTTGTAATTGCCTTATCTAACAAAAAGAAACCTAGCTTCCATTAACCTTTATTTATTTGATCAATCCCCCATATGTCACCTTCCGCACCCTGCTTTGACCCTCATGCCCTATAAGGCTGCCCAACATGTGGGGGCCCTCCCAACCCTGCTTCAGGTCTGACACCCATGCCAGGCACGCCTCAGGGCTGTCCTCCTCATGTTACTGGGGAACACCACTGCTACCTTAACACCTAACTTCCTCTGTACAACCTAAAGATCTTAGGACTGAATACTTCAGGAAGAGGAGAGGAAGAGGATTTCAAATGACTGACTCTCACAAAGGGAAAATAGTCACTTTAGAAAAAGAAGCAGAAATTCACTAACCAAATGGTCAAAATGAACATGACTGGTAATGGCACCAAATACCATCCTGATGTTGTGAGGAGGCCACCCACACATCAGTTATGGGTGTTTCTCCCCAAACAGCACAACTGAATCCCATTATGAGAAAACATCAGACAGACTCACATTGAAAACAACTGTCCTATAATCTTCAAAAATGTCAACATCATGAAAACTAAGTAATGCTAAAGAGCTACTCACATTCAAGAATGCTAAGGCATTTTAACTATTAAGTGCAACACATGGTTCTAGATTGAACTCTGGACCAGGAAAAATAAAACTATAAAAGAAATTAATGGGACAACTGAGAAATCTATATATGGATTACAGATTAGAAAAGAATGTATCTTTGTTATTTTTTCTTATTTTGATAATTATACCATGATTGTGTAAAATAATATTCTCACTCTTAAGAAACATACTGAGGGGCACCTTGGTGGCTCAGTTGGTTAAGCATCCAACTCTTGGTTTTGGCTCAGGTCATGATCTCAAGAGTCGTGGGGTCAAGCCCCATGTCAGGCTCCACACTCATGCTCACTCACTCTCTTTTAAATAAAAAAAATCTTAAAAAAAAAAAAAAAGAAAGAAAGAAAAATACACATTGCAACATTTAGGTTGTCCACAGTGCCTGCAGCTTACTCACAAAGGGTTCAGAAAAAAATATTATATATAAATACACACATACACACACACACATTATCTCACAATACAAGAAGAGCACATATAACAATAAAGCAAAGGGGACAAAGCCTTACTTGTGGAATCTGAGTAAAGAGTATACAGGAGTGTCTGTCACTCCTCATGCAACTGTCCTCAAAGTTTGATAACATTTTAAATAAAATGTTACTAAAAAATAGTCGTTGTCTTTAAGATTATGGTTTTCTTTTGTTATTTAATTTTACCTACTGTTTTTTCCTATTTTCTAATTATCTAGAGTACATATATTTATGAATAGATAAATCCTTTGCTTAAAAGAATCAAAGTATCTTCCCTTATTAAAATTTAGATGAAAAAAATTTAGATGAAAAAATATTTTCCTTCCTCTTTTAAAAGATTTTTATTTAAAAAAAAAAAGATTTTTATTTATTTGAGAGAGAGAGACAGAGAGAGCACAAGCAGGGGGAGTGGCAGAGGGAGAGAAGAAGTAGACTCCCCGCTGAGCAGGGAACCTGATGCAGGACTAGATCTCAGAATCCTGCGATCATGACCTAAGCAGAAGTCAGACACTTCACCAACCCAGCCATCCAGGTCCCCCAAAAGAAACATAAATCTTTTCAATGAGCTAATAGAACTAAATTCCAGAAAACAAAAAGTATACCATTTGCTACTAGATATATTCATTCTTTTAAACTAAGTCCATGTATTTTTAGTGATTTATTCAAAAAGCAGCAATCTTTATATAAAATGAATTTTAAAAGCCTAAGTAAGCTATAAACATTAACTAGCACATATATGTATATTTTATATATATATATATATATAATAATTTTTTTTTTGGTCTCTAAATAATGCTTGTTACTGCTAGCAATTACAGAAAAATCTCTCAAAACTGTAACTCTTCTTGAACTCTGTATATGCATCAAGGGTGTCTTACCAACCAGACTCAGTGAATAAAATGTGTCACACAACTTCCACTTAATGTTTCCAAACCAACAAAACTTAAGTTGAATAAGATGATTTACACAGATAAAGTTTAACAAATTAACACTTAATTTTCCACTTAATTTACTAAATTTTTCATGATAGTAACTGAAGTTTCAATTCTTAGCAATATTTCAGTGTCTTTCTCCAATCTGAATCCTTCTTTTTGCTCCATCTGATAACAATGTCCATGTTCATTCTGGTTCAAGTAATCTGCCTCCTCAACACTAATTACTACTTTTCTTGATTGGTCATACTTTTACCTGGCCCAGTGATTTTTTTTTCCTTTGAATCTTTTCTCAAATCTATTTCTACTATGATAATTATTCTTAACTGGCTAACAGGAGTGCTTCATCAATTATATTTGGAACACCAATAAAAACAAACTATAAAATTACTATTGAATTTTATATAGTTTTAATTCCCATTTAATAATGTATTTATCGCAAAGCACTGTATTAGGATTTATAAGCAGTTCAAGACATTAAAGACAGAGCTCTTACCCTTGAAGATTTTATAAATCTCGGCAGGATGTGAGTAAAATGATAACAGGTTTAATACCTCAATTATATGTCCCAATGTTATTTCTCATATCCCAATTACACTAAGTTGGAGAAATAACAAAAACCTCAAACATATTTTGAATATGTTGGGTTCAAATTTTAGAAGTTACAAAAATACAAATAGTCCTATTAAAGTTATTACACTGCCATTTTATTTAAGATACACATCACAATTCTTCTAAACCTTACCTGATAAGGCTGAAGTTTTCAGATATCCGTCAAGGCTGGGTAAAATGTCTTTATAATGGGGCTGAATTATATGTTTGCAGATGCAAACTGACCATTCTTCTAAGGCATTCAGGCCTACTTCTGCCAATGGGGTATAGCTCAAGCCCAGTTTAAAAGCCATCTATATATTAATACAAACAAGGTAAGCTGAAATGCAGAGAACTTAACATTTAAAGAAAAAACACCAATTAGTTTTGGTTTCTAATGAATAAAGCCTTCTACTGATAGACAGTGATGGAGGTAAGTAGGTGCATCCCAGGTCATTAGTGGGAAAACAAGCACCACCAATCTATATAGTTGGTGTTATACTGCAGACTTTCATACACAGGTTCAATCCTCACATCCACCTGTAAGGGAATCTCTGAGAGGCCAAACCAAGTATCCTAAGTCCCAAAGGTACTATGTGGCAGAAGAACCTGAACCAGGGGTGTCTGATGGGTAAGCACCAGCTGTGACTGCAGTGGCAAGACCTTGATATTTTCATGTTTTCTAGAAAACATAACATTACATGAAGAAAATGGATTCAAGACAATGCATCTACCTGCAATGCAGGAATGTAGGCTCTAATATCAAGTTCAATGATGTCATGTGGCAGGGACAGAATAAAGGTCAAACAGGAGGCCAGAAGTTCATCTTTATATTGCTTCATTTTAACTGATACCTTAATAAGAAGAGAAACACAGTGCTGTGCACCTGAATAGAGCCTATACTTTGAAATTCAACAAAAAATATTTACCCTATTCTCAAATATAAAAAGTAATCATGTGGCTTTTATATGATATGGTTTAATTTACAAATTAAGCACTGATCTCTAGGAAAAGTTCGTTTGTTGAAGTACTTAATTCTCTTTACATGGAGAGCTAAAGAATCTATTAGTTTTGAGTCGACATCATTCAAACTTACCATGAAAACTCAAGGGACTTTTGAAACACAATGATTCCTTTTAGTACTTCCTAATCCCTTAATCCCAATCTGGATTAAGCAAAAAAATTTTTAAGTAATTACATAATTTATGATTAGATTTTTTTACAACAAACTTTACTTTTTAAATAGCCCATGATAACACTGTATAAATCACTTTAAAAAGTTACCTCTTTACCAAATTTTGCAAACAAAGCAAAGCAAGAATACTTTTCTGGGTCCTTGGGAGCCTGCGTCTGACTCTTCACACCAACTCCCTGTTGAAAAAAGCAGTAAATTAATAAAGCGAACGATTATCATGTATTTCTGTGTCCTAATCTAGCAGTTCCCAGTCTTCTTTCTAAGGGGTGAATCCATTTTTCACTTTGCCAAGGTCTTGTACAGAGAGGAAAAAAAAATTAGCTCTGGTAACACTTCAGGCTGAGGCCAGTGAGAAACAAAGCATAAGGTGGAAAGTGAATGGCTGGTCAAAAGCCAGAGGCCTAGCTAAATCCACTCTCCTTCCCTGACTTCTAACCTATGAACCAAGAGAACTGCTCTCCTTGTAACTAACCAGTTGGACCACTCATAATGGACTATAGTGTTAGGTACACTAACTCAGTTATTCTCAAATGTTCCTAGCCACCAGATCACTTGGGTGGTCTGTTAGCACAGACTGCTGGCCTTGCCCCCAGAGTTTCTGATTAGATAAATCTGGAAAAGGCATAGATTTCCAAAGGAATGCTGATGCTGCTGATCCTAGAACCACACTTTAAGAACCTCTGTTAATCTAGCCTTATTAGCCAGGTGCTTATAAATCAGAATAGAAAATGCTATTAACTTTTTTAACAGTGTTACTCACTGACACTATCAGTTTTAATAAGTATTGAAAGTAAAATGAGATTTTAAAACGGCAATATATTATAATATTTTACAATGCCCTTACACACTCATGCAACTTAAAAAACACAAAAATATTCAGTGTTCCCACAAAAAAACACTTACCTCAAAATATTTTATTTTCTTGGCATTTCTCACAGCAACAGAAAGCAATTTGTAGAAACCACTAATGAGAGGGAGCCGTGTAGACTGCAAAATTAATTCATATGCAAATGAATATACCCATGGCTCAAAAAATTCTATATGTTTCTCAGGAAGAATGTCTCTGTAAAAACAAATTAAAAGCTTAATGTAGAATTTTTTATCATATATTTTTATTCAGCTTCAAAGTTATAAGTGACATAACAAAAAGATGTATGATTCCATTACATAAACATTTTCATTTTCCTTTTTTCCCCTCCCTGCACATCTTTTAAATAGAAAAACAATGGTAATGCTAAACTGGTCCATTTAGATATAGCTTAACAGTTCATATAAGTAATTTTAGAGTTTAAGCCCTTTATTATTTCATTTCATAAATCTATATAGGTGGTTTTCCTATACTATAGCCAATAACTGGTGATTTCCACCCCTAAATAATTAGAACTTTTAAAAATACCTGCAAAATTCCACCAGGTTAATGAAAGCTGAAAAATCTTTGGGTTTAGCAGGATGTAAGTTAGCAGCTGGATCTGAGGTTGGGATCACCCAAACACCAGTAGCTTCATTTTCATCCTTAAAAGCAGATGTACTCAAATGAACATTGCATCAAAGTAAGAAAAGTACAGACGGATCCTTAATTACAATTACAATTAATATAATTTAATAAAGCTGATAGAGCTTGCAGGAAACATTAAAGAAAATGACAAAGTGAAATGAGAAAAGAATGGTACAAATACAAAAATACGAACGGGGCTGTGACTCCTTGAAGGAACTAGCAATGATGCCTTGACAGAGGTAGAATTTCAGAACACAGAAGTGTCAGTCATAACCTAGAGGTTTCAAGCTGAGAAACAGAAGAGTAATCAACAGTGTTAAGTAACAGTAACTTACTATGAACATACTGTGTTTGTGTTATCAAACTCAGGTGCAAATGTTAAATAGCAGTTAGAAATACAGACTGGGGAGCACCTGGGTGTGGCTCAGTCAGCTAAGCAGCTGACTCTTGATTTCAGCTCAGGTCATGATTTCAGGGTCCTGAGACCAAGCCCTGTGTTGAGCTCTGCTTTCACTGGGGGGAGGTCTGCTTAGAGATTCTTTCCCTCTGCCCCTCCCCCAACTCGCGTGAGCACTCGTGCTTTCTCTCTCAAGTAAGTAAATCTCAAAAAAAGAAACAAACAGACTGGAAGCTGTAAAGGAGGGTAAGGGTATGCTTACTTGGGAAATGCTCATTGAGGTGACAACTGACCTGCTGGAGGTGAAGTAAAAAAGGTTAGGAAACAGGAGAAAGCAGAAAATAAGAGGAGAAAGAAAGTGCAAAGGAAGTCACTGAAGACAAAGTGACAAAGACAAGTGTCCTAAGAAGCAGGTTTGTTGACTAACACAGTTCCAGGAAGCCCCTTTCAGCAAGTTGAAAATAATCCAAAAGATTATTTTATACATACACAAAACATAAAAAGCAATAAAATACACTGGTGTTCCCATCAAGCCAGCATAAAAAAATAGAACAAAACAAATGCAATACAGTCAGTGTGACAGACAGCCTTCTATTATGTCCTTATTTATCTTCTGCATACCCACCCGAATGTCTCGTCTAACTTCATGATACTGCAGTGGAAGTACATATGTACTAACAGACATAATCTAACCTATAAGGGAAAAGAAATCACTGGGCTGAAAAGCAAATTACATTTTTCCACTGGAACTCAAGCCCTTCAACACTAGTGTCATTACCACAGTGTTTTACTAAAACTTATCCTCATTTAAGAGCAAAGCAGTTTCTATCTGGCAGCCTTAAACCACGACTTACAATCCACCCAGGCCAGGAAGTTGGGTACAGAAACAAGTGAAGATGTTCTTTCTTTTCTGCCTATTGCCTATATTCTACTAGTTTGAGAATACATTTAGCACTTTGCACCCAGACTTTGGAGTTTCCTTAGCTACGAACAAGAGGAATCCCAGCTTTCCCTACCCTATTGCAAGAAGTCCCCTCTACACAAATTAAGATGACACTTTACAATTGCTGAAAAATAAGTAACAAGCCCAGTAAACAATTTTTTTTAAATAAGTGATTTTAAGACATTAAACATATAAATTACTTTTTGAGCAAATCTACATATAACATTTTCAACACACTGGGCTAGTCAAACAGCAAAGTATCCATGACACACACGGATGCCATAGAAATCAATTTCCTGCAATCTCTACAAATGTGCTATTTTCCCCTGGGATGCTTACATACAAAGAGAGCTGGCATAAAAATGATACAAAATTATTACTGACAAAAACTTCTAACCTCATGTTCCCCAACATTCCGTTTCTCTAGCGTAAGATCCAATTTCTCAATAATCTTCAAAACTGATTTGACAAATTCATCATACAGCAAACGATTCAAATTTTGAAGTGAGGAATTCACAAAGAGAAATGCTTCATCTGCTAAAAGAGAATCCTTTAAATAAAGAAAAGTAATGAACTTCAAAATTTATGCAAAAAAGTATCAGTATAACCATGCATATACATATTTAGGTATTAGAAGCTTCTGTGTAAACTGTAACAGATTTACCTAAAAGTTTTGAAGCTGCAAAATGTAGACACTTTCCTAAATTATCAGGGCAATATCATTTCAGACAGATATGACCTACCCAGGTATGTAACACATACTAAGAACACAGTAGCAAATGCAAAGATTTAAGCCAATTCTTGTCAAAGCATTTATCTCACTTAATGTGTGTGCAGAAAAACACATATGTATACTATACACACACATATACATTATGTACTTATATTTGTGGAAATACAAATGCATGTACATTTATATACACAAACATAAATATGCATGCATGCATATACATATACACACACGTAAGCATACATACATGTGAATAAATGTATACCTACACTCAGAATGAATTTAAAAGTATAATTTATCACTTCTTTTTAAGTGAAACTATTCCACTATACCAAAAATATAGGCCAATTACTCTGCCTTTACTCAAATATTCTATGTTAACCTCAAAATATAGGAATAATTAACGCCACACATAAGAAAGAAATATTATAGGTAAAATTACTAAAAGTGCTATACTATTTTGCCTCACTATGAAAACTAAAAACTCCTAAGATTTTTCACAGGATAGAAATCATCTATAGACAAAGACTTTCCTAGGCTATAATGCTTTGTCAAAGTCTATGATAAAATGGTGGCCAGAAGCAAGTATAAAACAGACATTAAAGAACATCTACCAGAAATATCAAACAGGAGGCATTATTCTAATCATAAATAATGTAAATAACCATGCACCAATCTTCTTCACACCTATTGAATCAGTAAGATTGATCTATGTTTTTTAATCTTCATCTTTAACAAATAAAAGAATAGTTCTCCCATAGTGACAATATTGTTATACTTCTGTTACCTAGAGGCTGGATCTGTTAGGAAGAATAAATTAGCATGAAACATACTACTCACAGATAAAATGAGGACTCAGCTACAGCAATTATTACATTTATGTGAGTTCTAGGACTTTATTCCTAACATATCATTTTAATTTTTTATTACTCAAAGTACTTTTAAAAAAAGTTAATAAAACGTAGTTCTGAAACAAAGTCCTAAGAGTAAAATTATAGAGACTAATTAGAGGAACGAGGGTACTTTCATAGCTTTAAAATAAGTCATTTTTACCATCATCTGGTCACAACTCAGGAGACTTCTAAAAAGATCCAAATAGTCTTTATACGTGGGCACTTTCCATTTGCCAGTTCTAACTTCCCCTGATGCACGATACTCTTCAGGTTCAGACTCAACACCCTGGGCAGGAAGACAACATACCAATATATACTGGTGGATTCACAAAATAAGCATGGCTGCTAGAACATTCTGACTTTCAGAGTTTTCTAAGCTAAAACATCCATTATTAGGAGACTGTAATTTGATTAAGACAGTATAGCATGAAAGGATAAGAAAGCAAGCTGAAAAAGAAACCATGATTTTTCTAACTGGAACTAAGAGAGGTGCAAGAACAAATATTTAAAACGAGGGGGATCCCTGGGTGGCGCAGTGGTTTGGCGCCGGTCTTTGGCCCAGGGCGCGATCCTGGAGACCCGGGATCGAATCCCACATCAGGCTCCCGGTGCATGGAGCCTGCTTCTCCCTCTGCCTGTGTCTCTGCCTCTCTCTCTCTCTCTCTGTGACTGTCATAAATTAAAAAAAAAAAAAAAATTTAAAACGAGGAATGTGTTGTGAGTCATTGATCTCACTTTCCTACTCAGGTCAATCTCCTACTTCACCCTATTTCCTGTTACTTCAAGTAACGAAGATATGCCTCCCATGATACAACTAAGCATTTTGTCTCAGAGTTTCAAGAAAGAAAATATTCCGTTCGTACAAAAATATGTATATAATAGTAAAGTTACATTTAAGGGTGTTCCATAACTCAAGAGAAGTTTATTCACCTGAAAAAATAGAGAGGCACTATATCCCAGACTTTTCAGAATGTAAGGCATGGCTAATAACTAAAAAGGCCATTTTTGTATATTTACAGACCACAAACCCCAGTATCACTTCTAACTTTCAGTGACAAAAGACTAAATATTAAAACATTAGATTCAGAATTTACCTTTTGAAGGATCACTGGCTTAGAACATATTCTGATTAAACCCTGATGCACTGAGAAAAGAAAATGAAAACAAAAATAAGTAAACCATCATTTCACTGAATGTAACTGTACCTCTAAATTTTTTCCTTTAAGTTAGTTAATATCTTTACTTTAAAATTTTGGACTATTAAGATTCAGAAGCAAAAGGAAGAAAAAAAAAAGATTCAAAAAAAGGATGCAAAAACATGGTTTTGATCCACCAAAACATTAGTTCTCCAAGAGGCATCAAAAGACATGAAAGATACCTCTATCAAACAACATGTTAAGTATTCATCATGCATCATCATAAAAACTAGGGTGAGTTCCACACTTACCCACAGTACTGATGCAATTCCAGAAAACTGGTCCTTTTCCACGTAGGGCTAGGAAAACTTTTACTAGGGCTTTACAACATACTGACTGCATTTTTGGACTATACTGTGGGAAACTGTCTATCTGTGCCACCATGAGATGTTCCAGAACCGGTGTATACACCTCAGGAACCTACCAAAAATGGAGAGCAAACTAAAAGTTAGAGGAGGGAAAAAATAAATATAGGAATAATACAAATATCCAAAGTAATTACAATCCAAGTGGACATATATTAGCTAAGTGAAAGACCTGGCTTATATCTAATCCACTAGTAAACTTAACATTTATTGTGACGGCCTAAAAAAATCAGAGTAAAACTGTCTGAATGATACTTAGGTGCAATTCTATCCAAAGCAGCAATCTTAATCTTTTAGAAAGATAAAATAAGTAATAAATTTCTCCTGTTTTGTTTAACAAAAAGTTTCATGACAATAAGTCTATTAACACAAAGTACTTAATTAAAAATGTCACCTTGAGGGATCCCTGGGTGGCGCAGCGGTTTGGCGCCTGCCTTTGGCCCAGGGCGCGATCCTGGAGACCCGGGATCGAATCCCACATCGGGCTCCCGGTGCATGGAGCCTGCTTCTCCCTCTGCCTGTGTCTCTACCTCTCTCTCTCTCTCTCTGTGACTATCATAAATAAATAAAAATTAAAAAAAAAAAAGGATTTAAAAAAATAAATAAATAAAAATAAAAATGTCACCTTGATCACAATGGTGCCTGTACTAAATGCATACAATTCATATGACTCCGTCAAGTTATCTGAAGAATTAAATAGTTAAATAGTTATCTGAAATTTAATAGTTAAAACTGTCCTTGTTTAATTAACTATTTCACTTACTCTATCAAGGTAAAGCAAGACACTTGCAATAGACTGGAGGAAACTTGGCATGTGGTAAACGTGGTCATCAACAGTGTCTATCTGGGTGAGGAACAGCTGCTTGCAGCGCTGAATGAGCTCTATGTACATGAAGTCAACATCTTTTGCATTTATAACCTTGCAAGGCTTTCAGAAAGGTAAACAAAAGTCTTTATCAATCTTATCAATATCAAAACAATGATATTTAAGGTGTCACATTAAGCCATGTGATTATAAGCTGAGTATTAAGCTTTTCAATGGAGATCAAAGTTATAAAATACAATATATCTCATAAAATGCTTTTAAAAATAATCTGTAAATATATTGCAAATATGTATTTATATACAAGGAATCTACTGATAGCCAACTATTCTAGACACTGGTAGCCATCAAAGACAAGTAAGATGTAGACTGTACCCCGAGAGGCTAGTCACCTAGACAAGGGAAACAAGAAGTAAACTTAAAGCTGGAATACACTACTACACCACTCTGCACACTATACCCAGAGCCATCTTTGTAACTCACAAATCTGATAATGTTACCATCCAGCTTCAGATTTTTCAAAGGCTTCTTTGGACCTCAGATCTAAACTAGCTTCCCTGAGAATCTGACTAGTTAATCTTTTTAGAGTCCTTTTCCTTTTTCTTGATATATCATGCTCCAGCCACACTGTAAACATATTCTATAGTGAACAAATTGAAGTTGGTTACACCATAGTGCATAAAGTTGAAAATTCCAAGCTCTTATTTACCTCTGAGCTTTCTCACATACTGGTTCTTCTGCCCTACATATATTCAAAGGAGCCAACAGAGACAAATGAAGATTAAATAAAGCAAGAGGAGGGAGAATCATCTGGAAGCAAACAAGGAAATGATCACAAATGGAATGAGCAGAAAGCTGGGAAGAGGGTCTCTCCTTCCCTGAAAAAGGAAGTAGACACCAATGGGTAAATCCATAGAGAGATAGGAAGTCATTTTTCTCTGTAAAGTAGAAGTCACAGAGATCCCCCAAGAAGGAAATAACTATAGTTATTATCAATCTTTTTTTAATACTTTTTTTTTAAGAGAGAGGGACAAAGAAGGGGGGGGGTTAATTTTATTTATTTTTTCATGAGAGACCCAGAGAGAAAGGCAGAGACACTGGCAGAGGGAGAAGCAGGCTCCCTGCGGGGAACCTGATGTGGGACTCAATACCAGGACTCTGGGAGCAGGACCTAAGCCAAAGGCAGACACTCAACACTGAGCCACCCTGGCACCCCAGAGACAGAGACTCTTGAGTAGGTTCCATGCCCAAGCACAGAGTCTAATGTGGAGCTCCATCTCACAACCCTGAGATCATAACCCAAGAGGAAATCAAGAGTTGGACGCTCAACCAACTGAGCCACCCAAGCACTCCAACAATATTCTTAACTATATACTTCTGTCATAAGAACCTCTCTTTCTAAAACACCGAGTGACATAAATTATAATTTTACTTCATAAATAGTGGGCAGCACAGTTTAGTGGAAAAAGCATACTCTGTTTTCCAGTCTTTAGACTTGAATTTACATCTTGGCTCTGTAAATTACTGTGTGTTCTTTGACAAGTTACCTAATTTCTCTAAGTCTCAGTTTCCTCATTTGTTAAAAGTGAAATACTCCTAAAAATCTATAATGAAAATTTGAGAGAACAGGTCTACAGAATCCTAGTATATAGTTGGCACTGAAACAACAAAGCAAGTAACAAAGTATTGTCACAAGCATGAGATGCTATTCAAAAATGCAATAATTATATTCTTTTAAACACTCACAATGAGTGTTTATTCTAAAAAGAATAAATTAATGAGACATACTCCTGCAAAAAGTCCATATCCTCGAATTGCAATGGATAAATCCTTGCTGTTTGAATCCATGTTCCTGATGATTCCATAGAATTGCTCCATGAAGTACTGTAGCTTACTCTTATGCATTTCTGCATCTTTTGCCACCATAAAAGAAATCTGCAATTGCATAATATTTACATTTTAGAAATATTTAATAGCAAAACAAAGGAATCTATTAAAGTGTAAAAAGGCTAGAATTGTTTAAATATTTTCAATACATTGTTATAATTCTATACAATATCTTTTATTGATAAACAACTACCACTTCAATTCATTTAGTCTGCATCAAGTTCAGAAAAGACACTTTATTACATGTGATGCATTTTTCCTAGAGGAAAGCACGGAAAGAGACCAGGCCAGTGCAAAAAGACGTGAACAAAAACCAGATTTAAATTTAGGCTCCTTGATGAAGATGAAAGCATAGTTAGAACTCGTCTATAACTCAGCACACTACAGAGTCATGCAGGCCCAGTGGCCAGCGAGTTCAGGAGTAACAGACTCAGTGTGACTCATTAGGGCAACACAAAACAGAGCCGATTAATAACCAAGCTTTTCTATTTCAATACTATAAAAGCTAATAGATCAACCTGTATTCATCTTTCAAACGTGCATGCACAAAACTGAATTTAATTTTTTGTATGGAAAAAGTATTTTTAAATAAAAGTTGAATACCTGTTTCAGGAAAGATTCCAGAGCTGAATGTGCAGCTTTTTTCATTTCTACATTTGTATGGCTACACCATTTTGACAGCACTTCAAATAAAGAAACATAGTTGTCCAGAAGGCAGGTGCTAAACTGAGATGCATGCAGGGTAAATAAGCACAAGCCAGCTGCAATTGCAAAAACCATCAGTTAAAATAGAATAACAAAAAGCAGAATCAAAAACTAAGAAAGCTTCAAGTACATGTCAAAACTAAAACTGTTCATGAAGATCCACTATCATTATACTATAACTTTAGGGATCCTGATCAGAGTTCTAACACTGCAAACCTTACACTTGAATCAATAGGCCAGTGACCTCCAAAACTAAGTTCAGAAGTAGGATCAGGATTTATTTAGATAAAGTCAGTATCAAACAATCAGGATCCCCTAAAGATGCTCTAAAGTAGCATTGTTTAAGCCATGTCATTTAAGTGTGACCACCTAACAGGAGTTGTGTGCCAAAAACAAAGCCTCTAAAAGCCTCTCCGTAAGTAACTGTATGTGAAACATCCAAGACATACTTCACTTACAGTTTAAGCAAAAGTTTAATCATGACATTAATTTAAAAACCTGAAATATTCCACCTTATTATATATACAATCTTACCTAAGGGTACAGCATATCTCTTCAGGTCAATCTATTAAAGAAATTTTAAAAATTACCATCAATGTTTGAAACTTTCAAGTCTCAGCTATAAAAGAATTAAGAGTAATATTAATCCTACCTGAGGACGAATTGCCCTTAATGCAAAATCAAAAATTTCCCTCGAAGTCTGGGGATCTGGGGAAAAAACAAAAAGAAGTCTCCATTAAAAATCCCAACAGTATCATCTGACAAACCTCACAAACGCTTTATAACCAACATGTTTTAATACAGGAAGCATGCCTTCTATCATTCACTTCAGCTGGAGAGCTGCAAGCTATGACTGCTGACATTATTATTATAGTAAAGAAAGAAGAAAATGTTGAGTTACAAGGACATGGCTTTCAAATCCACCTCATCACTTACAAGCTCTGTTAGGTAATCTCTCAGAGCTTCAGTTTTCTTATCTATAAAAAGGGACATTGTATAGCTTCTTTGATAGTCGTATGGAAGATTATATAAGGTCAAGCACATGGGGTGCCTGGGTGGCTCAGATGGTTAAGCATCATCAGCTTGGCTCAGGTCATGATCCCAGAGTTCTGGGATTAAGCCCCGCATCAGGCCCCTTGCTCACCAGGGAGTCTGCTTCTCCCTCTACCCTTCCCCCCTGCTTTTCTCTCTGTTTCTCTCTTTCTCAAATAAATACATAAAATCTTTTTTTTAAAAAAAAAAGGTCAAGCACATGATCATCATCCCTGTACTGCCAGGCTTGTATTTAGCATACGACACATGCCACATTACTATGGTATTTACAAATATGAATAAAATGTGATCTTTGACCTTAATAAACTTACCACCTAAAGAGAAAGCAACTACACAAGTATAACCCAAGGCTCTTATGCTGACCTGACAGACATCACTACTATTTAACTGTCTCCCACCAGTATTCACTACAGCTGTCCAGAAATCAAGCTTTACTTATCGCTAAGTTATCTAACCTTGGAACAGAGACTTGCAAACAGCAAAAGCTCAAAGATAGTTTACTTTGATCGAAAGGACTGATACATTTAAAAACAGAGCCCAACTGTGACAGAAGACAGAAAGAGAAGGGGTCAGAGAGGGCTTAAGAGGACTGACACATCAGCACATCTGTAGGATCATTCCATAAAAGAGATATTTTTAAAGCTCCTTTGGGATTTTAAATATAAGGAGAGATTTCTTCCAGCTCTGAGTATTCAAGACAAGATTTACAGACAACAGTTGAGCTAGACCTAAAAGAATGGGAACTAATTCATAAAAAGGTCATTCTGATACTAATAGAAAGTGACCATGTAAACACAGGTGAACAGACCCAAAGGCACGAGGTACTCATCAGTGCATAGCTGGTCTAGAATGTGTGGACTCAGGTGAACACAGGGAGGTGCCGGAACGCCAGCGCTTGAGCTCCCAGTTGTGGGAATGGACATCACCTCTATGACCTTCCTTAGACTCCGCCTCCCACTGTCCACTCTCCTGTGTCCACCTCTGCCTTCTAGTGGACCACTCCCTCGACAAGCATGCTCTTGTATTTATTTTGTTGTTGTGGTAAATATACATAATGAAGCATTTACCATGTTAACCACGTGTAAGTATACATACAATTCAGTGGCGTTAAATATTCACATTACTGTGTACTCGCCACCATTACCTATACCCAAAAAAATTTCATCATCCCCTACAGAAAGGCTGTACACATTAAACACTAACTCCCCTGCCCCCACCCCCTGGTAACCCGATTCTACTTTCTGAACCAATAAATTTCCCTGTTCCTGCTACCTCATACAGTATTTATACCTTTGTGACTGGCTTACCTCACTTAGCAGAATGTCCTCAAGCCCACGTGTTATAGCAGAGGAGTGTATTTCCTTCCTTCTCTGAGGCTGAATAATATTCTGTGTATATACTACATTTGTTTATCCATTCATCTGTTGATGGACACTTGGGTTGTTTCTCCCTTTTAGCTATTATGGATAGTGCAGCTAGGAACCTGAGTATACAAATTCTGGTACCTACTTCTAAAAACCCTTTCTCCTATAGCTCCCATCAGTTATCCCATGTTTCTTTGGTCTCCTCCATTAAGATTCCTCTAAAAGGTTTTCTGCTGATAGCCTCCACTTCCTCCCTTCCATTCCACCTTACTACTCCTTAACCTGCTCTGCCTAGCTTGTCCTCTGACACTCAACTGAACTTACCCTTGTTGAGGTGGACCCACTCTGCAGCTCTGGTGGCTTTGTATTCAGACTCCACACAGAGCAAAGCACCTTTACATCCTTGCCCCAGTTTCTCTGTACCCACTCCCCAGCTAATCTTGCTCACATTCACAGCCTAACATAATACCTCTATGCTGAAAACTGCCAAATTTATATCTTAAAGTCTAATTCCTCCTGCAAGATCCTGTCTTAAGTATACAACTGTACCCTTAACATCTAAGCTGATACATCCCATGGCATCTATGGTTCAACATGTCCAAAACAGAAAGCCACATTATTACCTAAAACCTGTCCAACCCAGTTTAAACACCACTGCACCAACTTCAGTTGCTTGCAGCCACACTTAAGAGCCAAGTCTTTCAATCCTACACTAAAACAAATCTCATACCCAATAGCAGTCAAGTAGACCCTTGTAAAACATCAACTAGCCCATATCTATTCACTGGAGAAAAAAACATGGTTTCTTCTGCCATTGGGAATGAAATGCAAGCTCAGAAGCCCCTCACACACTGACCCCACATGCTGTGCAAAGAACCAGCGGGCTATATACATCCTCTACCTTCTTCATACTCTGATATCCCTATTCACTGTACCCAACCTGTTTGCATAACTGAACCCTAAAATCTATAATAGCTTGTTCATCTATTGTCTGTTTCCTCTACTAGACTGAGTTCACGATGGTAGAAACCTGGTGATTCTAACTACTGAGTCTAACACCTAATTCATAACTTTTTACATAGAAGGCACCCAAGAAACACATACTGTATGAATGAAAACATCAGCATTACTATTTAGTGCTTGATGTCACATTATCATGGCATGACAGGAAAACTATAAATTAGAGCCTCAGAGGAGGTGCCTGGGTAGCTCAGTCTATTAAGCGCCTGCCTTCAGCTCAGGTCATGATCCCAGGGTCCTAGGATCGAACCCCACATGGGGCTTCCTGCTCAACGAGGAGCCTGCTTCTTCCTCTCCCCCGCACATGTGTATGGGCATGAGTACTTCCTTTTTTCCCTTAAATAAGTAATAAATAACCTTTAAAATTAAAAAAAAAAAAATTATTGCCTCAGACCAATGCTTAAATCCTAGTCTTGCCACTTATTGGTTACGTAATTTTCTATTGCTGCTATAACAAACCATCACAAAGTGAGTGGCTTAAAAAAACACAAATGTGTTACTATATACAGTTCTGCAGATGAGAAATCTGAAATGGGTCTCACAGAGGCAAAATCAGGGTGTCAGCATGGCTGTGTTCCTTTCTAGAGGCTTCAATGGATTAGAATGAGGACATCACTGAGAGCCATTACTCTGCTACCATGTCAGTTGTGTGACTTTGGGCAAGTAACTTGTCTTAGTTCTAGTGTCCTGATCTAGAAAATAGAGATATTACCTGTCATAGAGAATTATTACTGGCATTTTCCTTGCACTATTCTAGAATAATTTTTAGCACATGGTAAATGAACAATAAAATAAGTGCTGTTATTTTTCGTAAACTGTAGATGCTTACTAAATATCAATTAATATGCCAAGCAAATACAAAGACAAATCAGCAACATTACCTGCCAGCAGGCTCAAGTGACAGAAATAAACACTGGTTTACTGGTTATGACCCAATAAATTAAAAACACATCATAGGAAGTACTGTAACAGAAGAATACAAAAGCCAGAGGAAGTGACTCATCTCAGGGGAACCATAAAGGTTTCAAATAGGTGATCTGTGAGCAACCTGATGAAATGGGAAGCTGGCAATACAATATGGGACAGATGAGAAAAAAAAAAAAGAGAAATCATATAGAGCAACTACATCTTTGGTAAGCAATAAAAGGATGAGTAAAAATATTAGGTTGAAACATCAAATCACTGTTTTTGTAGGTCAAAAATCATTGGATACTGGAATATAAAAATATTGGACACTGGAATTTCCTAAGTTTCGATCTAATAAAAGCAAATACACAGGAGGTAGAAAAATTTGGCAATTACTTGAACAGAAATCCTAAGATAGGGAATTTTTTGTTGCTTAAAGAATCTCTTAGGGTTAAAAATTTACACTGCCTTTTAAAAAGAAATGAATTTCATAATGCATATAACGCTATCTTAGTTTATACTCTAAAACTGAGATATTACAAGGAAACATTATTGAAAACTATAAAGAAAAGCATATTAAACAAACTTTAAAATTCATAGGCAAGAGGCAGCCCGGATGGCTCAGCGGTTTAGTGCCACCTTCAGCCCAGGGCCTGATCCTGGAGACCAGGGATCAAGTCCCACTTCAGGCTCCCTGCATGGAGCCTGCTTCTCCCTCTGCCTGTGTCTCTGCCTCTCTCTCTCTCTCTGTCTCTCATTAATGAATGAAAGAATGAATGAATGGATATTTTAAAAATAAAAAAATTCATAGGCAAGAATCTGTATCCTAATAATGAAGAAATCAAAGACCTAAATAAATGGAGAGAGAAATTGTGTTATGGATTGGAAAATTCAGCATAGCAAAGATAATCAGTTCTCTCCAGATAAATATACAAGTTTGGTGCAATGACTATCAAAATCCAAGTAAGGTGTTTTGTAGGCACAAAGTTATTCTAGAATATGCGTGGAAAAGCATAGCACTTAAATGATTTCAGGGGCACCTGGGTCATTCACTTAAGTGTGACTGGCTATGAAAGAATAGCAGGAAGGCTCCTTATGGTGGCAGACTGTTTAGTATCTTGACTGCACTGGTGCATACACAAATTTGTACATCAAAGAACTGCAGAGAATGAAATACACATACACAAAGGTATGCACATAAAACTGTGTAAAATGTGTAAAATGTGGATAAGGTTGGTAGATTTATCAATGTCAATATCCTGGTTGTGCTACCGGACTAGTTATAGAAGAGGTCATCACTAGTAGGAAGTGGGTAAAGAACAAATGGAACCTCTCTATTTAATTTTCACAACTATGGTGAATCCACAATTGGTTTGAAAGTTCAAAGAAGTAAACTAGCAATTCATTTTAGAATTATAGCTTTCAAAATAAGAAGAAAATCGAGTAAAGTCAAACAATACCTTCTTCCATGGATTTGGTAAAGTTACACATGAGTGAAGACAATCCCTTCAGACACCCTGCCAGAACAGGCAGTTTGGGTTCTCTTATTGCTGAGGTCATCTAAAAAATGTTTTAAAGAAGATACCATTAAAAGAGAAAAACACAGTGAAATCTTTGGAAGCAGAATAGCATAAAGTTTGCCATACCTGGATCTTAAGTTCACCCAGAAAAGCCCGGAACAGTTTTTCTGAATTATTTATCATCTCACTAGGATGAACTTCAGCTAATACTCCTAGAAGCTCATATACTTTTTCTAATACTGAAAAATAAATTTTAAAGAAGTCAAAAATTATATTTAAATAAATTAAAGTGTATAACAAAGTCAAAGAATGTTTAGTTCAAAAGTAATTTCGAAGATACAGAAAATATTAGTTTTAAGGACCAGAATCTTTCTTTCCTGATAAATTTTATGCCAATCTACTGTTATAAACTAAGTTACATTTGACATATGTTGTGAGTTTTCTTCTTTTCTGTGTTTTCTATTTAAAGAAATCATTTCATGGAGTGTTTGCCTGGCTCAATCCATGGAGCATGCGCCTCTTACTCTCAGGGTCATGAGTTCACAGTGAGTGTGGACCCTACTCAAAGAAATCATTTCATAAAGATTAAACTTTTATAAGCAGAATTTTACACGGTTTTATTCTGATTTTTTTTTTCAGCAAAAATTATTTCTCTGTAGAACATATACAAGCTTTGGTAGAGAAAACCTAAGTTTTACACTAAATTTTTAACATCAATTTATTAAAATATTTAAAATTAACGTTTGAAACATCTCACCTGTATCCTGTATTTTTGTTTTCAATGCAAGTTCTCCATAGAATTTATTAAATAATTCTCCAATACTAAATTCATCCATGAGTCTAGAACTTCTTAAAGTCCGAAGTAACTAAAATAATAAAAACTAGCATTGTCTAAACAGGAGAATAACAACAAGGCTTCCCTTTTTTGCACAGTTTCTACACAAAGCTCCAGAATCACATGTCTCTAGGGAATGTCTTTGGCTTCTCAGCACTCCTATCTAGCCTGAGTATTTAGAAGTCAGAGGTTGAGGTGGGTGGTAGAACACGTTACAAAGGGGAGGAGGCTGTACACTTAAGTTTACCTTCCCAAGAAACCAACAACATGACAAGAACCATTCTCTTGGAGGCACTTAAGACAAGGACTAACAAGACCCTAAGTAATTCTAAAATGGAGATACAATAAAAGACATACATCTGAGAAACGGGAGAGTGAGTCGCCCAAGAAGCACTTAAGTACAATTTACAGACCTATTTTCATGCTAAGGTTTAAGAAAGAACTCTGACCTACAATGATGTGAATTCTGGCAACTCTTAGCAGCCTTAGGTTTTTAAGAGTTATGGTGAGAGAATAACAGAGGGGCAGTAAATTCCTTATTTTTCCTCTTAATTCCCCTTACAACCCCAAATCCTCCCTCTACTACCCAGAAGGCAGTAAGAGCAAAAGGCCCCAGTATTAGAGGTGATGACTGGAAAATTTTGTCCATACATCAATGTGACCAAAGCCTAGCCTCTAACATCTCACCCTCAAAACCTAACTTAAAACTCTATTTTTCTGCTTTTTAAGTTACAGGTTTAATATGAAATACATGTACTTAGAAACAACAAAATTACCTTAATAAGAAGATCTAGGGCTGGGATTTTACATTTAGCAGCTTTATCCTTTGTGTAAACACTGGTACAAGTAGTCTAGGTTTTAAAAGGAGACATACCGAAATCATCAATAAGATCTTAGTTCTTCAAACTAAAACTTCACAACAGCTAAAAGTACATCTCTGAGAGGAGCAACACCAATCTATGACGTACTACAATTTAGTATTCAGCTGTTTAAAGTATAATATCAGAGGGATGCCTGAGTGGCTCAGCAATTCGGCGCCTGCCTTTGGCCGAGGGCATAATCCTGGAGTCCCGGGATCGAGTCCCACATCAGACTCCCTGCATGGAGCCTGCTTCTCCCTCTGCCTGTGTCTCTGCCCCTCTCTCTCTCTCATGAGTAAATAAATAAAACCTTTTTTTTTTTTTTTAAGATTTTTTATTCATGAGAAACACACAGAGAGAGAGAGAGACAGACAGATACAGGCAGAGGGAGAAGTAGGCTCCATGCAGGGAGCCCGATGTGAGACTCGATCCCAGGTCTCCAGGATCAAGCCCTGGACTGAAGGAGGCGCTAAACCGCTGAGCCACCGGGGCTGCCCGATAAATAAAATCTTAAAAAAAATAAAGTATAATATTAGAGCATATAATATAAATATACAGACAAAAAATTACTGAAGGCATGTATACAGTATGCTATGGTAATGATATCAACAATAATCACAAAAACACAAAGTAAATGGACACCTAAGCAGGATTAAAAAAAAAAAAAGTTATGCTTCCTTGCATACCTCCCATAGCACCTGTTGCCATATATCAAGAAACTAAGCATGAAAAACATAACGAGGTAACTAAAGCAATTCTAAGAGAAATGGTTGGCACTCCACAGTAAAACAGCTCATACTAACAAAACAATGAGGAACTCCGGAGAGAGGCCACCTGGTTCCAAGTTTTGGGTGAAGTTTCTTAACTTTTAAGTCTCATTTGTAAGCTAAAAAGATTAAAGATACCTACTTCACAGACTTTCAGTAAAATTAAGTAAGACAAACTGTACATGAAAGAACTCTGTAGACTCTAAAGCACTCCACAAATGTTAGTTATTCCCAGTGTTGAAGCAGTTTTTTTAGATACAGCACAGGCTTGAACTGCGCAGGTCCACTTATACTCAGATTTTTTTCAATACAGTACTGTAAATATATTTTCTCCCACAATTTTCTGAATACCACTTTTTTCTCTAGCTTACTCAACTATAAAAATACAATATATATAGAACACATGTATAAAATATGTGCTAATTAACTACTTATTCCTATTACCCCAGATTGAATACATACTTCATCAAATCTTAGCATCCAAGAATGAGAAGCAATTTACGACCAATAAAGAGAACTTACTTTGTGGCACCTGCTCAAAGTATAAACAAGTCTGAGAAAGAACAACTGAATTTATGATTACCAGTTCCACAGTAAATTATGACTACACCTGGGAAAGGCAGGTGGGAAGAGAACGGGAAGCACGGGAAAGGCAAACTTTCCAAACTGCTGCCAAAGAGCACATATGAAGGGCATGAAATGTAAATTTTACCCAGCAGGAGAATTCTTTAAAACTGTTTTTAAAGTGTTTTGAAATCTCTCCACAATTCAACTTACTATGACTTTTTATAAAAGCATTATCCAGGCACCCCAGGTGGCTCAGTGGTTTAGCGCCACCTTCAGCCCAGGGCGTGATCCTGGACCGGGGATCGAGTCCCACGTCAGGCTCCCCCACATGGAACCTGCTTGTCCCTCTGCCTGTGTCTCTGTGTGTCTCTCATGAATGAATAAATAAAAAATCTTAAAAAAAAAAAAAATTGCATTTTCCTACATGTAAAAAGCTAATAGTTATCAAAGTAGTTTTTGACAAGGGCCTTACCTTAGTAAACCTAAAAAGAATAGACCACTTCATTTCTAGCCCATAATCAAGCACAAATAAGATCCTCGATGAGACAGGCAAGAATAAAATATAAATCCAAGTTTAACTTACAGCAAAAGTTAAAATCGATGTTGGTATATAATGAGATACGTTTTTTTTTTTCTCCTTACCTTAATATCAAGAGAATAAGGTGTGATCTTCTGGCCAATTTTTTCTAAGAAAATATATAAAAATTTTAAGACTTCTTCTCTACAATCACGAAACTAAAATGAAAGAAATAAACATTACATATGGGCAAGCAGAAGAGTTATTTCCGCATACAGGAATATATAAGAAAAGGAAAATGAAATCTTCAACTTACTTCATCAATGCTAAGTGACTTCTGAACAAATACAAGCAAACCGAAATCTTTGGAAAAAACTAAGGAAGTCTGTAATGCTGAACAAAAATAAATAAGGTAAGAGAGCGCCAAGTACCGCATAAACCCACCCTAAATGAGCTGCATGTTTCTCAATTCAGCCTTATAAGCAATTAAATTATAATTACATAATATAAGCCTTATAATCAAATTAAAAAACCAAAAACTAACTTAAGGCTGCTGTATTTAAACAAGGAAAACAGGAAATTGTAGATGATATTCCACTGGGATGACACAAGCAGAATAATGGCCCCAAAGATACCTGAGCTCTAATCATGATATAACATGTGTGAATACACTAACTTTACACAGAAAAAGAAAATTAAGGCTGCAAATGGAATTAAGGTTGCTAGTCACCTGACCTTAAAAAAAGGGAAATTAGGGCAGCCCCGGGGGCTCAGCGGTTTAGCGCTGCCTTCAGCCCAGGGCGTGATCCTGGAGACCTAGGGTTGAGTCCCACATCAGGCTCCCTGCATGGAGCCTACTTCTCCCTCTGCCTCTCTCTCTCTGTCTCTCATGATTAAATAAGTAAAATTAAAAAAAAAAAAAAAAAAAAAAAGGAAATTATCCTGGATTATCCACGGGTCCAATATATTCACATGGGCCCTTAGCAGCGGAGGAGAGAAGAAACATGGAAAGAAAGAGAGGAGAGAAAAAATTTCAAGCACAGGGGTTACTAGAGCCATGGTTGCTGGCTTTGAAGATGAAGGTCACGATTTGAGAAACGTAGGTGGCTTCTACAAGCAGGGAACACCAGAAAGGAAAACCGGGCTTTGGTCCTGAAATCGCAAAGAACAGAATTCTGCCAACCTGAACGAAAAAGGAAATGGATTCTACACGAGATCCTTTAGAAAGTAAAGTGACCCTGCCTGATGCCTTGGTTTTAGTTAGGTGAGACCCCTGATGGGGTTTTAACTACAGAACTGTAAGGTTAAATGTACGTTTTCTTAAAGCTCTAAGCTTGTGGTATTTGTTGCTGCAGCAACAAAAGAGTAATACACTCCTCTATAATCCTTCACCTGGAAAAACATAAAACTACTGAGAGTAAACTTGCAACTTCTTCATAAACAAGTTTACTAGAGGAACAGAAAAGGGGAATTGTAACTTAGAAACTCTGAGACTAGGGGCCCCAAGGGAAACTCAATTTCACCTCAAGTCATGATCTCAGGGTCTTGAGACAGCCTGGCATGGGGTTCCACACTGAGTGGGGAGACTGCTGGAGACAGTCTTTCTCTAACTCAGCTCCTTCCCCTCCTTCTCTCAAAAAAAAAAAAAAAAAAAAAAAAAAAAAAAGAAAACAAAAAAACACTTTGAGACTAGAAAGAATTTACATGTCTTTTAAATTTATTTCCCCATTAATAATATATACTTGTCAATATGTAGGTACTGATTGATAGCATCAGAAGTTTTCATGCAAAAAATAAAAAAATAAAAAAAAAAGTTTTCATGCAATGATGTATTTTAAAAGTGCCGAAAAGAGGCACTTTTACTACAAAGGAGCAAAAGGTTCTCATCTAGAGCCTGCTAAAATGTTAAAAGAACTGCAGGACGATTCAGTTACATTTCTGCAAACCTGCTCAGAAGTAGGAACAACAAACTTAAGAGTCGGAAAAACGTACGAGTGGGCTTAGGCGCTTTTAAGGTCAAAGAAAATACCTTCCTTTGGTTCTCTCTGCTTTTTTTTGCAGCATAGCAATAATTGCCAAATTTGGGGCATTTTCATCAAGTGTACTTTTTAAAAAATTTTTTTATTTATTTATGATAGTCACAGAGAGAGAGAGATAGAGAGAGAGAGAGAGGCAGAGACAGAAGCAGGCTCCATGCACCGGGAGACCGACGCGGGATTCGATCCAAGGTCTCCAGGATCGCGCCCCGGGCCAAAGGCCGGCGCTAAACCGCTGCGCCACCCAGGGATCCCACCAGGTGTACTTTTAAAGCATCTTCACACTCACACACACACACACGCACACGCACACGCACACAGCATCTTTCCTCTGCTAGGAAACACAGCAGCATGGCAAATCACTTTTTGCACACGCTCGCAGACGTCCCAACAACCCAAAGTCAACGACCAGCCTTTTTCAAAGCGCTGCGAGATGAGGTCGACAGAGAAGCACCAGGCTCTGAGGCTCCTGCACGACCCGCACCCGCACGCGCGCGCTGGGCACCGTCCCCCGCGCGACCCGGCCTGTACGCACCCAGCACCGCGGGGTCGGAGCTCAGCACGCACTCCTGCCCCAGGCCTCGGATCAGCTGGTAACTGGCCATCGCGGCGCTGCAGCGGTCCCCGGCAGACAGGGACTCCCGCAGCTGCAGCAGGGAGCCCCGCAGGCGGGACCCGGAGTCGGCCATGGCGCCCAAACACCGCCCTGCGCGTGCGCACACTAAGAGCGGGTCCCGGCGTGCCGCGGGGCTCGCGGCGGTGGGACGCCCGGCGCGGGGGCGGGACCCCGGCCCCTGGGGGCGCGAAGTGTCAAGGAACCCCGCAGGGAGGGTCTTCCTCGTAGGCAGAGCCGTGTGCGTGCCGGAACGAAGAGGTTGGCGGGCTGCTGAATGTGTCGTGGAGGACGCCCTTGGCGCACACGCGGAAGCCCAGAAACAGGACCCGGGGAGGATGGTCGGTGAATGGAGCTAACTACGTGCCAGAGGCAAAAAAAGACAAGCTACGGGCTTGAGTCAAGATCCACAGAGTTGCCCCTCGATAGAAAGTGAAAAATCCGCTAGTAACGTCTTTAGAAATGCAGGGGCTTGAGGGATAAAGAACCTTGTCCTTAACCTTCCGGGAACAGTCTGGCGGGACTCCCCGGTTTCCCGCGAAAACCGGGTCCGGCAGGGGCCAGACCACCTGGACGGAGGGGAGGCGGCGGGCGCGGGTTGCGCCCGTCGTCCGCGGGACGCTGAGGGCGGCCGTGCAGCCTCCCCCGCCTCGTCGGTGCGCGGTGGTACGTCCCGGGGGCGGGGCCACAGAGAGCGCCGCTATGATTGGTGGGCTCCCGCCGGGGGCGGGGACGGCGGTGCCGCTGGCGCGAAACTTTCCCTGCCTGCCGGGTGCGGGAGAGCGAGCCGGCGGGTGCGTCCCGGGAGCCCCGCGGCCGTCCGTGCGGTGAAGCGGGGAGCCGGAGAGCACGCGGCCGGAACCCGCCCTGTCCTCGCAGGGACCCCGAGCGCCATGTCGTCCCCGGCGTCCACCCCGAGCCGCCGCGGCAGCCGGCGCGGGCGGACCACCCCTGCGCAGACGCGTAAGTGCTTCCGCGGAAGTCGAGCCGCCATGGTCGCAGCGCTCCCTTCCCGCCTTTTCCCGCCATCGGGGGGGGGGGGCGGGGGGGCGGGGCACGTAACGCGTGAGTGCGCCTCCTCTCAGGCCCGGAGCGCGGTGTGTGCCCCCGGTGGGTCCGCGGTGCTTGCGAGCGGTGCTTGTGCTCTGCCAACACCGTGCGACCCTTGCCAGGCGGTTTCCAGGCTCTGTGCACGTCAGTGCCACGTGTCTCCGTTCTGCTTGTATGTGTTCCCGAGAGACTTGGTGGCGCCCCGGACACCCAGCGTGAGCGCTGACGGCCGTGTTTTCTGTTTCGTATGTCACAAGCTCGAAGTGAGGATGCCAGGTCGTCACCGCGTCAGAGACGGCGGGGCGACGATTCTACCTCCACGGGAGAGCTACAGCCTATGCCGACCTCGCCTGGCGCCGAGCTGCACAGCCCTGCCGCGCACGACGCCTTATTCTCCAGCCCTGCCCAGATACAGCCCTCAGGTGTGTGTTTGCCGATCTAAGATCCGCTGCGGTTACTACACGAATGATGCTTTCGGGGTTTGTTGACCCGTCGTTGATGTAACCGTCGAGAGCTAGTATGTTCTCCAAGAGTACAGAGATGGGTACAGGGTAAGGCTTACTGAATAGGAAAAAAGGCCCTGGTGCTTTTTCACTAAAAAGTTTAGTCGTTCTCAGAATCTCGACGACCACAGGTTACTACAAGGAACGTCATTTGCCATTGTGCTGAGAAGACTTGAGTCAACACGTAACAGTAGTTTATCTTTTCGAATTCTGTCTTTACAGCAATTCCCCTTGATTTTGACGTTAGTTCACCACTGACATATGGCACTCCCAGCTCTCGGGTGGACGGAACCCCACGGAGTGGTGTTAGAGGCACACCTGTGAGGCAGAGGCCTGACCTGGGGTCTGCTCGGAAAGGCCTGCAGGTGGATTTGCAGGCCGAAGTGGTGAGTACACAATACAATCTTCTGACACTGGCATTCGGAGAACAATAAAGGGGTAACTCCCCATTAACTGGTTTTATTGTATTTTTCTGTATAGGCAGCAACAGAAGATATAGTGGCAAGTGAGCAGTCTCTAGGCCAAAAACTTGTGATTTGGGGAACAGATGTAAATGTGGCAACTTGCAAAGAAAATTTTCAGGTGAGCTGTCCCTTAATACTTTAGGGTCTCAAAATGCTGGGAGGAACGGCTTATAAACAATATCTAAGTTGCTGTAATACTCAGGTACGTTTTTAAGTGGCTCAGAATTGTTGATGTCTTTCTAGTTTTTTTGTTCTGTTTTTTTTGTGTGTGTGGTTTTTTGTTTGTTTTTCGAGTTTTTAAAAAGAAAAAAATACTATTTATGTCTGTCTCCAAATAGTGACATACTCATAATTTTTTGCATTTTAAATAGTTGCTTATTCCTAAATGCATCAAACTTACTCTTTTTCTTACCACGTCAAGAGATTCCTTCAGCATTTTATTGACCCTCTGGCCAAAGAAGAAGAAACTATTGGCATAGATATTACTGAGCCTCTGTACATGCAACGACTTGGAGAGGTAACCAAATAGTCTTATAAAATCAAATTAATGCATTTTAAAACATTTAGCAGAGTATAACTTACTTGTGTTCTCTTCTAGATTAATGTAATTGGGGAGCCATTTTTAAATGTAAACTGTGAACATATACAATCATTTGACAAAAATCTCTACAGACAGCTCATCTGCTACCCACAGGTAAGATTTTTGTTTTGACCTTGATGAATTATAGTAAATGTTCAGAACATCTAGAGAGTTTCTGAATAGCAGAATTTCTTGGGTACCTGAGAGGATGTTCCTCCAGAGCACAAAACCTTAAGAAAATCATATTTATTTTCCTTTAAGATGAATACTTTCTCACACTTTCACATAACCAAAATTGAGATGTGTGTTATTATCAGTGACAGGTCATAGTTTAATTGGCAGTTTATGAATCTTAAAATTGGTAGCTGCTTGGGTTGAAGTAAATTATCTTACATGAAAGAAAACTTTTTTTAAGATTCATTTAGAGAGAGAGCACACACACATGTAAGAGGTAGGGGGAGGGTTTGCAGAGGGAGAAGGAGAGAGAGTCTTAATTTGAGGTGAGAGGGGCAGAGGGAGAAAGAGAATCTTAGGCAGATTCCAGGCCCAGTGCAGAGCCTGACACGGGGCTCAATATCACAACCCTGAGATTATGCCTCAAAAATCAAGAGTTGGGTGCCTAACCAACTGAGCCACCCAGGCACCTCATAATCTTTTTATTATTGACATATCAACTATGTTTATTCTGTTGCTTTTGGAGGCAAGCAGACTTGTTTTTATTTCTTGATCTTGCTGTGTAATAGCTGTGTGACCTTGGTCAAGTTCCATAGCATTAAAGTATGAATTCAAAATCTTTTTGTTACTAATTAAAAGCCTAAGAAATGACAGTACATTGTGAAGGTTTCTTTTTTTTTTTTTTAAGATTTTATTTATTCATTCATGAGAGACATAGAGAGAGGCAGAGACACAGGCAGAGGGAGAAGCAGGCTCCACGCAGGGAGCCCGACGTGGGGCTCAATCCCAGAACTCTAGGAACACTCCCTGGGCCGAAGGCAGGTGCTAAACCGCTGAGCCACCCAGGGATCCCCGTGAAGGTTTCTTACACATGATCACACTTAAATCAAATGAGAGTATGCAGAGGTGAGATTAGCACATTCTCAGTGTACCCAAAGTTTTTAAATAGTATGTTTGGGCAGCCCGGGTGACTCAGCGGTTTAGCGCTGCCTTCGGCCCGGGGCCTGATCCTGGAGACCCTGGATCAAGTCCGGTGTCGGACTCACTGCGTGGAGCCTGCTTCTCCCTCTGCCTCTGTCTCTGCCTGTGTCTCTCATGAATAAATAAATAAAATCTTTTAAGAAAAAGTAAATTAAGGAAAAAAAAAAGTAAATAAAAACAAACAGTATGTGATTATATAGAGGTAATACTTTAGATGCCACATGTGTTTTTATATTTTGCTAATGTGAAATGTCTTTATTTCTTGTTTTTAATTTTAAGATGGGAATATAAACACAGCTTGACTTCTTTACATTCATTTTTATAGGAAGTTATCCCAACCTTTGACATGGCTGTCAATGAGATCTTCTTTGACCATTACCCTGACTCAATCTTAGAACATCAGATTCAAGTAAGACCCTTCAATGCTTTAAAGACGAAGAATATGAGAAACCTGAATCCAGACGGTAATGTTTTTTAATATCAGGAAAATACATAAAAATATCCAAAATCTTATTTCATCAAGGAATTTTAAAAGAATTGGTGTGAGAGTGGTGGTAATGAATTATAAATTGACTAAATATACGGCAGATTCATTTACCCAATATGCCTTTGTACCCACTGTATCTTTTCAACTGAACTGAAACTACATGAAAGATGTTATAACTCTTGACAGTTCTCTATCTTAAGGTGGACTTGCCCAAATATGATAATTTTATAGTTACTAAGGCACGTCTTCAAAATCACTGTAGAAAACAAATACAAAATATCCCTGTTTTGGAGCTTAAGAAAGAAATCTAGTTTGGGGACCAGGGTGGCTCAGTGGGTTGGGCATCTGACTCTTGATGGCGGCTCAGGTCCACACTTGGCAGGAAGACTGCTTGACGATTCTCTTCCTTTTCCTTTCTCAAAAGATTAAGTTTTTGGAAATAGTAATAATAAATATGGTTTGGAAAGTAAATAAAAGAAAACCTAGAACAAGAGAGCAGTGCAGAAGATTTCTAAGCCCAGGGAGGGAAGGTGAGTGCTAGACCCAGGTGGGAGGAGTTCATGGTGAAAGAGAAACTTGAAAAGGAAGTAGATGAGCAGAGAAGTGCTGGATGCCACTTCCTCGGTAGGTCCTCTGTTGGACAGAGGACCCTGGGGCAAAAGGCCAGAGGTGCATCAGAGTTGAGAAGAAGGAAGACGACACAGGAAGGGCATCCCAGGGCAGACCTGAGTTTACCCAATGAAACATTCATGCCCTGGCCACAGCACCTACCTGTACTCCAGCCATCTCAGGTACCTCTGTTTCCCAGTAAGATTCTCTTGGGCTCGTTGGCAGACCCAGACCTGCCCTGGCAGGAATGTAGCTCAGGAAAGAGACCACCTCTGGCTGTACTGTGGCCAGTGGCTGATGGAAAAGCTGACCTGTCTCCTCAACCTCTTGCAGACATTGACCAGCTCATTGCCATCAGTGGCATGGTAATCAGGACATCCCAGCTGATTCCAGAGATGCAAGAGGCCTTCTTCCAGTGCCAAGTGTGTGCCCACACAGCCCGGGTGGAGATTGACCGTGGTCGCATTGCTGAGCCTTCTGTTTGTGAGCACTGCCACACCACCCACAGCATGGCACTGATCCACAACCGCTCTGTGTTCTCTGACAAGCAGATGGTATGTGCCTTCATGGGTGCCCTGGGAGACCTCCCCTTTGGTGTGTTGGTATGTTTCTGCCTCTCTCTGGATCCTCAAAAAGCCAAATTTAATGTGT